TTTTTTTTTTTTTTTTTTTTTTTTTTTTTGTCTTTTTGTCTTTTTTCCGTGTCCGGCAACGGATTGCAACCCTCAGTGTTGCCCCCGTACCGGACCGGGGACCGGCAACGGGATCGCAAGCCTCGGTGTTGCTCCCGCGCCTCGCTCAGCCAGTGAGCGGGAACCGGTCTGCATATGGGATCCGAACCCTCGGACGGGAGCGCCGCTGCGCTTCCCAAGCGGCGCACTATCCAGTGCGCCACCGGGCCGGCCCCTCAATTTCTTATTTACAATTACAAAAATCAAACGAGTTCTGAAAACTGCGAGTTTTTTCTTGTTTGTTGGCCAGACCTGGCCATTTGGATGGGAGACCATTTATAGGATTTATCTTGCTTCATGGGAGTATTCAAACGTGGAGAAATGTCAATGTGGCTGATCGTGGGGTGCCATCCCAGCCCCTATCAGGCTGTTCTGCAGTATATCCAGTGTACACTTGCACTACCCCGCCTTCCTAAAAGCCACAGAATTCTGAATTTGGAAATCCATGTGGCCCTAATGAATATGGACAGAGGATTGTGGACCCATGCAAATAACATCTGCATCCCACCACTGGCTTTGAAAGAAAATATTAGCCAAACTGTCAAAACCCTCATTGCTTGCACTGTATGATTTTGATGATCGGGAGTCACGTGTGAGAAACACCAATCACAGCATAAGAAGTGGGAAGAATGTGGAGGTTTCAGAGGCCCCCAGGCCCCTGCCCCAGGTGGTGCATCTGTGGCCAGGTCCCCGCTGCCCACCTCCCCTGCTCCCACCTCACCTCTTCAAAAGTGTAATCCACGAAACGTTGCGTGCCTGGGCGCGGGAAGAGGAATTTCACGGTCACAGAAGAACTGACCACGACGCCCTGGTTTTGACAGGAGATCTTGGGTCTCCTGAGGCAGTGGACGGTAACTTGGGCCTGGTTGATGGGGAAGCCACTGAAAAGCTGTGGGAGACAGGGGTCCCATGGCCAGGACAGGGGCCCATCAGAACAGCTGCAGCCACTGCCCTCATAGACAAGAGGGATGATGCTGACTTGGGGTCCCAGGGCTGGAGGGAAAGGAAGCAGCCCAGGGTAGGCCAGGCTCCGAAGGCCTGAGCCCTGGACTGTGCCCCATCACTAATTTGCCGGTCACTTGGCAAATTGGGACTCTTGGCTTCTCTAACCCTCGGTTTTCTCATGTGTATGCTAGTGAAGCTATTCCTTGCCCTGCCCACCTCTCAGAGCATGGTGAGGATGGCTTCACTTAACCTCCTGTGCCTCACCTTCCTCATCTGTAAACTGGGAATATAATAGTACCTACCTCATAGGGTTGTGTGAGGATTAATTGGCATAGACCGGGACCTGCTGCAAGGTGATCCTCCCCAAGACACTGCTCTTGCTTTTATTCACAGTATTCATGGAGCCCCGACTATGCTTCAGCCCTGGGCTAGGAGGTGGGCAGAGAGCCCAGTAGACATGATCTCTATCTGCAGGAAGCTCAACATTTATCACATAAGCCCAGAACTGAATATAACATTGAAACTGAGGAGTATTTTAAGGGAGAGATATACCAGGCTGTGGCACAAGAGCCATCGAGAGGGAATCTGACCTAGTCAGAGAGGTGAGAGAGGCCTCCTCTGAGGATGAGGAGGAATCAGACGGGCAAGGGGAGAGGACCAGCCATTTTGGGCAGAGGGAACAGCATGGCCAAAGGCCCTGTGGCAGGAGCGTGGCCAATACGAGGAGTGGACAGGCCAGCAGGACCTCCGATTTGCAGCCTGCAGGACGAGGCTCAAGGAGACCCTCCCCCAACAAACCATTGAGCTAGTAGATACATTACAACAAAAGGCTTTATTTAATACATATCTGAGCTCAAAAGAAAGGAGACAATCCCAGGTCCCAGAGACAAAGAAGAGCCAGCTGAGAGCCAAAACTGCAAGCAATGTGGCCCAGAGAGGTAAGAATGGGGCGTGGGTTCAAGCCACACTGACCTAGGGTTTCAGTACCCTACGAGAGAAAGGAGTGAGATGTGGAGGTAGAAATAAGATATTTCCCTTCAATGAAAAGGAGACTAAAAAACTTCATCCACCAAAGGAAGCCACAAGGAGTATTGGAGAGGGGATGGAGGGTATAAATTTAAAACTCAAGTCAGGCACATGCAGGCCTGACATATATATTTATACTGCCCCTGAGCTGAGAAATTAATGTAAAAACACACCCAGACTAATAAATGATGTAGCGTTTGGGGTCCCTGGCAGGAAGAAATGCAAAAACTGTTCTCTTAAAAAATGTAGGCAATCCAGGGAACAGAGTCTGTCCACAGGAAAATCAAATCCCACTAAAGATAAACTTACAAGTAGACAAAAATGACAAACTACACGAGGAAACCATTCACCATGAGGGAGAGCTAGCGAGCCCAACAAATAAGAGGATAAGTACCCACAATAATTTGACATAATAGAACAACCTGGAAGAAACTACAAGGTAACTTTTTTTTTTTAATGATTAAAGAAATAGAATAACGAAATGACAGGACTCCAGTGGGGAGGAGGAGAGAAGAGTTAGACTTGAAAATGAACTCAATAAAATGTTATAGATAAAAATTATTGGTATTAAAACAAAAAACTCAGTGGATGAGTAAACAGATAAGACAGAGATGTAGAAAGGATGAATGAACTGAAAGAGATATTTGAAGAAACTCTCCAGAATTTATCATAGAAACATAGAGATGGAAAATATGGCAAGGAGGAGGAGACATAAAAGACGGACTGAGAAGGGCCCACGTACGTCTGATGGAAATTCAAGGAGATAAGAACAGAGAAAACATGGGAGAGGCAATAATGGAAGAGACGGTGACCAAGGAATCTGTAGAGCTGAAGAAAGACATAAACCCTTAAAGTAAACAATTATGCTGGTTCCAAAATTAAACTGAAGGCAGACGGGGGCCAGAAAATGCAGGGCCTTGGAGGACATGTCAGAGAATTTGCCTGTGTTCTGAGACTCTAATCTTTTATGCTTGATGAGTTTTTTTTTTTTTTCTTTTTTCCTTTTTGTCTTTTTCCGTGTCCGGCAACGGATCGCAACCCTCGGTGTTGCTCCCGCGCCTCGCTCAGCCAGTGAGCAGGAACTGGTCTGTATGTGGGATCCGAACCCTCGGCGGGAGCGCCGCCGCGCTTCCCAAGTGGCGCACTATAGCAGTGCGCCACCGGGCCGGCCCTATGCTTGATGAGTTTTAAGCAGGCAGGTGAATGGTCAGTTTTGCTTCTTGAAAAGATTGGCTGCTGGAGGGAACAGATTGTAGGGGGTCTTGGGATGCAGCGAGACCCACTAGGAGGCTATAGATGGGTCCCCACAGAGATAATGGTAACCTGGCCTGGGGAGGAGGTGGAGATAGAGAGAAGTGGAGAGACTGTAGAAATAGTGAGGACGTAAAATGGACAGGACTTGGTAAGGGGGACGAGGAGGAAGGGCGGGTCAAGGGCATGCCTAAGATTCTGAACGAGTTGCATACCGGGAAGGAGAAAGACTTTCACAGACTTGGGGTAGGCTGGAAAGGGTAGGTCTGAAGTTCAGAAGGGAATAGGGACCATCCTCTATTAGGACAGGAAAAGGACCCCAGGAAGGGGCAGGTGTGGGTGAGTGGAAGGGCTGGCAGCAGGACAATAAGGGAGAAGTCCTGCGAGCGGCAGTGCCCAGCTCTCTAGGAAGTAGGCTGCTGTGGGCGGGGAGGTTGGAGGTAGACAGGAGGGGCAGCTGGAGATATGAGCATGGTAGGGAAGGACTGAAGATGTCGTTGCAGTGGGTGGGGGAGCAAGTTGACCAGAAAAGCTGAGGTAGGCTAACCCAGAAAGGGTGAGGGTGCATTCGGGATAGGGGACCATGGATTCCTAGTGGAGCTTTGCATCAAGAAGTGGGATTATGGACATCTTTGCCGCTGGCAGACCAGGCAGAGGCCGTGACCCTCAAGGACCATGACTGAGGTTGGCTTTGGATCAGGAATGCTCAGTAGTTGCGTCCTATCGCTGGGGCCCTCTGAGCCTGGGGTCGATCCTGGGGTTCCAGCACCCACAAAGCCCTGGGTAATGAGGCAGGGGTATGTAGCATAGTCTTTGGAGGTGATGTGGCTGGGCTCAAACACAGCCCTGACATTTACTAAGTTTCCCTGTGTGTAAAATGGAAATCCAGAAAGTGCCTTGCTCTGAATGAAAGAATACACACATACGGTGTTTAGCTCGGTGCCGGACACCTAGGAGGAGCAAGTGTTAGACTCTTGTCATTCTTGTTGTTGCAGTTGTGTGGGGGCTCCTGAAGCCACAGCAGGGTTGGGGTGCATGTGATAAACCCAAGCAGGGGGGCAGTTACCTCCTGAAAGATTTCCTGGTGGGTGTCGAAGCCCTGGGTCTCCAGCACGGCCTATAAAAAGACAGAAAAGGGGTAGGAATAGGGGGGAAGATCAATCCTCAGGAGGACACTTTGCAGGGACAGAGTGCAGTGTCAGGGACTGGACCCCTCCCCAAACACACCTCCCAACCCCCCAGACAAGATTTGAGAGGCCCTGGGCAGCATGAGGTGCAGGGAACCCCTGACCTGGCTGGAGGCTTAGCTGCTATTCCCTGCTCTGCCACACACAGACTGTGTGACCTTGGGCAAGTCTCTTCCTCTCTACCAGCCTCAGTTTCCCTACGAGTTCAATGAGAAGCATAGGCTGGAAACCACCTAAGCATTTCTAGTATAGCATCAAGTGAAGAGTGCAGGCTTTGGAGCCACCTCTTATAAGCTGTGTGATCTTGGGCAAGTCATCTACCCTCTCTGAGCTTTGTTGTTGTTGTGTTTGTTTTTGCAAAATGGAGATAACAATAGTACTTGCCTCACAGGCTGAGCACAACAAAGATAGATGCAGCACACATATTATCAGCTACATTTATTGCACAATTACCATGTGCCAAGCTATATCTATCTATCTATCTATTTAGCTAGCACCTAACACAGAGTGGGTCCCATTAAATGCTGGACTTTAGTATTATTTCTCCAGCTTAAGTGGTCCAGGATGCCTTTGCCCACACCCTGAGTTTCCTCCCTCCTCCCATGCATGTGCACACACATGCACACATACCACAGGCACACATGGATTCCCCAGCAGCCCAGCCCCACTCCGCTCACCTTGAACTCGTCTCCTGTCAGGCTGAGCGTGAAGCGGCCATCCTGGAAGGCAGCTTTGGCCAGGGAGTCGAGGACTTGCTCAGAGAACCAGAAGTACAGCATGCGTGAGTCCCCCAGCAGTGCGGGCGAGAAGGTGGGGAGGGAGAGGTCCTCCGAGACGTTCTTGTGGATGGAATGGCCCTGGAGAAAGCCAGGACATTGGCTGGACCACTCTCTCCCCTCATGTGTCCCTGCTTAGGAGCCAGCTTTAGGGAGACTAAGAGGAGTCTTGGAAAGCATCCAGCCCAGAGTACAGGGGGGGAAACAGAGGAAGAGCAGTGCTTAGTTTCCTCCCAGCTGGCATTTCATTCATTCAACCAATACTTCCCGAGTGCCTGCTATGTCCCGACCACTGTGTAAGGTGAACCAGACAGACGGGTTCCCACCTCACAGCCTTATATTCCAGCAAGGACATCAGTCTGAACAGCTGGTGACCATGAACCTCCACGCTCCCACCCTGCCCTGCTGACCACCAGCCCTGCACCTTCAGGGAGCAGACAGCCAATTGGGCAGCCCTGGGTAGCCAAAAAAATATATAAAACAAGCCACTTCCCAGTTTCCTGCTCCTCCAACATCATCCAGCCCAAGGGTTGTCCACAAATCCCTGAAATGTTCCTTTTGTTCACTTTCCAGGGAGAGGCTCCATCACAGAGATGGCTGGTTGCCCCCTAAAATCCGTTCTCCCTATCTTCCCAGAGTTCTGTAACACCCAATTTTTAGCTGGGTCCGTAGCTACCTGGAATAAAGTTCTCAGCTTCCCCTGCTGCTAGGAGTGACCATGTGACCATGCTCAGGCCAGTGGGATGTGAGCAGAGTAGGTGTGGTTGTCAGATCAGCATCTTAGACCTTGAGACCAAGGCCACACCTGGGGACAGTCGAGTGACACAACAGAGGAGTCTGCATGCCTGACACCATGAAGCCACCAAAGCCACCCTAGACTGCACACACTTGGACTATAGCACAAATGTCTGTCTTGCTTAAGCTGCTATTATTTGGGGTCTCTTTGTTATAGCAGCAGAACCTATTCCTCTGTCTTAATGGAGGGTCCAAAGCTTTTGTCAGATCCCCTGGGGGACCATGATTGCCCCAAACCACTGCTGTAGATGGTGATGCAAGCCAAATAAGCCCTCTAGAGAGGAGCTGGTGTGTGGCTGGGACCCTGGGAGTGGGGAACCCTGGTGCCTGCAAAGGGGGCTCGGACACATGTTGCTGTGGGCCTGCCCTCCTTGCTGCAACAGGAAAGGCTCTTCTGCAGAGATGTGGCAATGGGATTCTCGGCTTCCGTGGAGTTGAAGCTGGGGCACAGGGGTGGGGGTGGCCAGGGCACAGGTAAGGACCTGGCCCAAGCAGCACCCTGGGAAGTTGAGCCCCTTCCTCCAACCCCCACCACTCCCACCTTGTGATGGGACTCCAGATAGGTGGCTGTGATGACTGGTGATCCCGTCAGGGAGATGTCCACCCCGATATCTCCATCTGAGAGGATGTGGGCTGTGGGGAGGGAAAGATCAAGGTGGAACGTTAGGATGATTCATCAGCTCCTCCTGATATGCACCCCCACATGTGCCCCAGCTTCCAGCCCCAGTGTCCCCATCTGTAAAATGGGTCCTGGGTGTGGAGGAGAGGGGTGTGCCTTTTCAGTCTCTCTTTTCTTAACTTTGGGTGGCTCCACCATGCAGGAGCCCTTCTAGAAGACTGGCTCAAAAGTGTGGGACTTTAGGTCAGAGATACAAGCTGGAACCCCAGCTCTGCCCTCTACTGCTGGACGACAAGGGCTAACCTCACTGGGCTTCTGTGTCCTCACCTCCAATCACAGCATCTACCTCAGAGCTGGGTGAGTAATAGCGTCATTTGTGTAAGAGCGGGTCAGCACCTGACGACATCAGCAATTCTAATGATTTTTCTTCCTAATCTTCTCCTAGCAGAAACATGGAGTCCTCCTAGACTTAATCAGTCAGTCTGTCCTGAGTTCTGTAGTCCAGAGCAAGGGTCAGCAAACTTTTTCTCTTCAGGACCAGAGAGTGAACAGTTTGGGCTTTGGGGCCACTTGGTCTCTGTCGCAATTGGTCCCCTGCTGCTGCTGTAGAGCAAAAGCAGCCACAGGCAATCCTGCCTGAGTGGGTGTGGCTCTGTCCCAATAAAACTCTATCACACAAGCAGGCAGTGGGGTGAATTTGCCCCGTGAGCCTGAGGGCTGGAGCACAGCATGGGAGCATAGGGCCTCTCTCCTGCCTCTTCCCTTGGGCCTGTGACAAGAGCCACGTCCCAGCGAAACCCCCCTGACCACCCAGCCCCTTCTGAATTCCTGTGGCTGCCTGGGCCAGTCCAGAGACGCCTGCCTTGCTTTCCTGTTAGCTGTGCCCACGCTCCCACCGACAGCATAGCCCAGAGAGGCGGACAAGGTTCCCATTCCAGGTTCACCCAGCGATGGGAGTGGAGGGGGGGGAGGGGTTTGCCACTCGGGAAAGTAGGACCATGCTCTTCTGTGCCTTGGGCAGGGCCTAGGACACCCACATGAATCTGGTGCTGCCTGGAATCTCCCCCCTCAACTTCCCCACAGCAGTGCAGAGGGTCTTCTTACCAGGGGTTTCCCTGACTTTCATTGTCCCTGTTCACTGAACACCTACTATGCACCGGGGCATAAAGATCCAGGCACACACCCTCAGCCTGGCCCCCTCCCTCTCCATGGGCCAGGAGCGGAGTGGGCGACATTACGGTGCAGGACAGTTGCTGGGGGCAGCGGCCTGGCAATCGTCAGAGGGCCCAAGCTCTGATTCTGTTCCTCCACTTCCTCTCATCTCCATAAATTTCAGTTTTCTCATCAGTAAAATGGGGATTAGTGGCCTCCTTGCTGGACAATTGTGAGGATCCCATAATATAAACAACGTATTTGGTAGTAGTAGGTCAGCCGATGGTGGCTATTACTATTGTTAGTATTAGGACAGGACAGTACCCCCCACTTCTCACATCACCTTCTCTTGTCTTGGGTTCCTCCCAATGACCAGGGACATCCCCATTGGACAGATGACAACACTGAGTCCTGAGTAGTTTCTCTAGACTGCACAGCCTTGTGGGAGCTCCCCCTTAACCCAAGGCCCGATGGGAAGGGAGGGCAGAGACTCCAGTAAGGGAGGGGAGCTCTAGGTCTCCATTCTGCTTTCTTCCTGCCTATCTTCCGTCCACGGTTTACTGATTCTTGAAATGTTGTTGATGCTACACTTGGTGCTAGGGGGATCAGGGTAGTGATAAGGTAGTCATAAGAATGAGGGTTAACCATGGCCAGGTACTGTCTTAAGCATTTTACACACATTTTTTTCCCCGCTCAATTCTTACAGCCACCCTATGGGGTAGGTGCTATTGTCATCTCATTTTTCTGATAAGGACACCGAGGTTCAGAGAGGTGAAGCCATGCCCAAGGTCACACAGCTTGTGTGGCTGCAGCCCTGAGGCCATAACCTGACCAAAACTAATCACCAAGTGTGAGAGCCAGACAGGAGCCACGAGACCCAGACAGGGGAAGTGACTGTCCCGAGGTCACGCAGTGACTGTGGGTGGCTTTCTGGCTCCCATCACTGCCTTCCAAGGCATGCACATGGAAACACACTCACCAGCCCTCGTCTGGACAAAGTCGGCCATGATGTTGGAGAGGACGTTGATCTCTTTGCAGATCTGGGGCGGACAGGGCAGGTGGCTCACCAGGCAGGAAAGGAGGTTAGAGGAGGGGCAGGTCAGTGCCTCCCTCCAGCTGCATGGGGGTGGCAGTGCTGGGAGTAGGCACAGGGGACTGGCCGTGCTGGGAAGGTGGGAGGGGCACTTTCTCAGGGACGAGCAGGGAGGAAGGGGGACCCAGCCTCTTGGGCATGACCCTGGACTGCGGGCAGGTCACCGGCCTCACTCACCTGTCCCTTCAGGACCAGCTTCAGGGTGAAGGAGAGGAAGTTGGTGAAGAGCTGCTTGATCCACCCAGGTCTGAGGGCAGGAAGTGCAACCGTGAGCCTCTGACCAGTCGACCAGTCGTGTGCATCCATTGAGCACCCATTGTGTGCTGGGCACTGCTCAGGGCTCTGTCAGCCTCAGAATCCTCACGCAGCTCAGGAGGTAGGAATTATCACCCCCCCTCCCCCAGCTGAGAACAGAGAAGCTCAGACACAGCCTCAGAACAAAGTGCTAACCATAGCACCATCTCAGAATTCCTTGAGAGGGCCCAGTTCCTGTGAAGCTCACCTATCACACACACGAACATGCCTAGAGTCCAGATTCACACACATGGCCATCTGCTCTGGGGCAGAGAGAGGCCTGAATAGAGGGCTCTTTCCCAGACCTTACTGACCAGGTCTCTCCTGTGTTCTAGGTTGGCCACTGATTGTATGACTTGGGCCTCTCTGAGCCTCAGTCTCCTCCTCTGTGCTATGGGACTACTCACAGCTCCTTGACAGAGGGTTGGCCAAGACAAAAAGCCCCACCCCAGGAAACATGAGCTCAGGTTCAAATCCTGCTCCCACCCCCTCAGTGGCAAGCTGTGTGTCCTCAGCAAGTTCCTTAGTCAGACTACAAATTTTAGTTTTGAATTAGTGTGATATCTAGAATCAGTAGATATGAGTTTTTCTTTCCTTCCTAACCTCTCTGTGCCTCAGTTTACCCATATGTAAAGATGGGGATAATAATAGAATCTACCTCCTAGGGTTGGATCGTGAATTAATTAATTCACGAAAAGGGCTTGCAGTAGTGCTTGGTACACAGTACGTACTCAGTAACTGCTGGTGCATGGATGGGGAGGGGTTGGAAATGACCTCACTGAAGGTGGGGCATGAGAAGGAATGGGGCCACGGAAGTGCTGGACTTACTCACGCTCCCCTTGGAGATGCAGGAGCAGCTTATGGAAAGTCAGGTGGCAGTCGGGAGCAGTGGTCCGCACACTGCCAGAGTCGCAGGCTACAGAGAGACCCCAACACCACATCAGGACAGGCTCAGCTGCTGGGCAGTACCCGTGGGCTTCCCAGATCACCCGGGAGCCTGGTTCACCCTGGGCCCCCCACCCCACAAACTTCTTAGGCTGGGCCTCCTTTGGTGGTCTCAGAACCCTCTGCCCATACAACCTTCCCTCTCTGCTGAGGCCAATCCCTGCAGCCTGGCCTCCCCGCCTCCCCAGAGGATGTTGGCCACATACTCAGCTGTGTGCTGATTTGGAGGTCAATGGCAGAGTCAATCTCGAAGTCGACATACTGATCAATGCTCAACCTGCAAAGAGCCAAGTACCCAGGACCCTCATTCTGCCCTCCAGCCCATAGAGGGCCAGGGGTGTCATGTCTGCTGGTGAAAATGCTTACCCCCATGCACCTATGTAGCCATAGCTCAGGGTCCCCTTGAAGATCACAGACACATTCTGGATAGAGATGTCGATGGACTTGGCTTCCACTAACTCCACCTGGCTGCTGGCAATGGACAGGTGGCTGATCTGAATGCTGGGAGGACAAATGGAAGTAAGGAAGGGCATCATGGGGCCCAGGTGCTCAGCCTGTACTGCCCAGGGCCCCCTCTGGGGGAAGCCCTGTTCTGCCCTCCTGGAGCTCAGAGTCCAGACGGGAGACAGTTACCCTCACGGATGTGGGTCATCCAGGAAGTCCAAGGGTGAGCCTCCAACTTTGCCTAGAGGACTGGTGAGGGAGCGGTAGACAGAATAATGCTCCCCCACCTCTGCAAGTGTCCACATCCTAATCCGCAGAGCTGTATGTTACTTGACATGGCAAAAGAAACGTTGCAGGTATGATTAGGCTAAAGATCTTGAGGTAGATGGGGAGATTATCCTAGATTATCTGGGTTCGCCCAGTGTAATCACTAGCGTGCTGAAACGTGGAAGAGGGAGGCAGAAGAGGAGAGACAGGGCAGGCGTGATTAGGGGATAATGGTCAGAGAGAAGCAACCTTGCTGGCATTGAAGCTGAGGGAGGGGCCGCTAGCCAAGGCACGTGGGCGGCCTCTGGAAGCTGGAAAAAGCAAGGAAATGCGTTCTCCTCCAGAGCCGCCAGAAGGAACCTAGTCCTGCTGACACCTTGATCTTAGCCCAGTGAGACTCATGTCAGAAATTTTAACCTCCTTAACTGTAACATAATAAACTTGTATTGTTTTAAGTCACTACATTTTGGTAATTTGTTACCGCATCAAGTAAGAAACTAATATAGAAAGGTTCCCTGAGAAGGTGACACCTGGGTGGAGGGCGTGCAGGAGGGTGGGGGTTTGGACAATGGGAGGTTCAGCTCAGAAGGTGGCCTCAGCCAGGCCCTGAATGCAGGCTGAGTCGTCTCAGGGTCTGGGGTCTCAGGGGTGGACACAAGACAGGATCTGTGCTGCACAGAGCTGGGTCAGAGGCAGGTCTCAGTGAGGACCCTCAGTGACACAAAAGTAACTGCTTGGTACTGAGCATGCACTGAGGCTTCACGGTCATTTCTTGGTTTAATACTCACAGCCACCCCACTAGGTGGTTACTATTGTCACACCTACTGAACAGACAGAAATAGCTCAGAGAGCTTTGGTATCTTCAAAAGGCCTTAGTACATCTGGAATTTAATCCTGGGTCTGTCCCGCTCCAACTCCCATATTATAATCCACTATGACGCACTGTGCCCAGCAACGGGAATCTGGGCATACCTGGTTTCCCCTCTCTCCTCTGTTCTGTTCTACTCCGTTTAGAGAGAATAGCATAAGGAATTCTCATTGTACCAATTATCCAGCTTCAACAAATATCAATCATGGCCAGTCATATTTTATTTCTACCCCATCCATACCCGTTTTGGATAACAGTTATATATTAATGAAATCTATTCAAAGACAGTCTGGTCTTATAGAATTAGTGCTGATTTATTAAGGGTATTATCTTTTTTAGCCTCTCAAGGCAATTTTGCCATCTCTATTTGTGACATGGGTCTAGGATGGCATGATCCTCATTCTACAGAAAGGGAAACTGAAGTCCAAGGTCACACGGGGAGTGAGGGGCTGAGCTGGACCTGGGACACCCTCACCCCAAACCCTTGGCTGTAGGAGCTTTTCTTCAAAAGGCACAGAAGCATCGCCAGCGCCCCCTGGTGGCTCTAAAACATTCACCAGCTCCGGTACCAATTAATCTGTGTAAAGCCGGGTCCACCTCCGTTGAGCATGTTTTGCAGGGTTGGGAAGGACGAGATTGGTTTTAAGGCAAAGATAAGGTCCCTGAACAGCATCTTCCCCATCCTTGGGGTCTCAGACAGACACACAGACAAGGACCGAGGCTCCAGGGCAGCTGAGGTGCCAGGAAGGTGGCTGTATTCCAGGAGCCGAGCTCTGTGCTCAGACACGAGTTTGGAGATAAGCTCTGCTGCTGCCTGCCTCGCTGTGTGACCTCCAAGCGCTTAACCTCTCTGGGCTCCTCTTCCCTTGCTTGTTAAGTGGGCCATTAGGGTATATGATAAAGATAAATTAGACATTGTTTTTAAAGGCGCCTTGCCCACAGCCAGCCTCTGCCTGTTACCATCATACTAAGATAAGTCAGGAGAACATTTTGCCAAGAGATCTCTGTATCCCAAATAATACCCCCATCCTTCTAGGGCAGTGGAAGATGGCCCTTTCCAGGGATGGATCTTACAGGGGCTGTTGGAAAGGTTGGTACACACCAATAAATCCCCATGGGGCACTGGGCAGGGTGGGGTGGTGGGGGGGGGATAGGCTGAAGGAGCATGGTGGGGTAGGGGGATGCCAGGCTTCTGCCCCTGGTACCAAGTCAGGTGGCGAAGCCTGAGTTCCCCTGGCTGTACTTCCTCCCTGTGTGCTGGGAGCAAGTCCCAGGCCAGTCCTCCCTGCCTCCCACCCCCCAGCCTGTTCACACCCCAGGCCCAACTCACTTGTGCAGACCATACTTGACTTGGCCAAGGAGCATCATAGCCCTCTCGCCCTTGATGTCTGGGTATCTGGCTCTCTGGAAGGCCGTCTGGACCACCTTGGTGGTCTCCTGGTTCACTAGAAGGGAAGGCAGTGGCTGAGGGGCTGCAGGCCCAGGCCAAGCCCTCCACCGCTACCCAGCCTTGGCCACAGCTCGACCTCTCTGGAATGAGACTTCCTAACAGGCCTTAAAGCCAAGGGGTTGGACAGGGCCTCACACTGTGTGTAAGTCAGATGGCAATTCTGAGGGGATACTGAGAGTTCTGACCCCTGATCCTAGCCATACCCTAGCCTCTGGATCCTGACATACGAAAACCCCACAATCCTAGTCAAAGGGTAGCCCCCGAACCCAGCCAAACTCTGACCCCAGCCTCACCCAGACCATGCTGTGACACTCCTCCCACCCCCCACCCTCATATAAACTGAGTCTACAATCCTCGGTGTCACACTTGGGGATACTGTATTTTAGAGACTATCATTTAGCCTCCCCATGCCCTCATTGTATTGAGCAAGAAGCTGAGGCCCAGAGAGGGCAGGGGAACTGGCCAAGGTCATGCAGCAGTCAGTGACAGAGCCTCCCCAGCCTGGACTCATGCTGACCCCTGACTCTGGCTATAGAATGACCCTCAACACCAAATACACACTAACCACCTAACCTTCACCCCCTAACTGGACCCCCAATCTGGCTCTGCTCTGAACCTAGTTCAAACCCCAGCTTGACTCTGGGTCCCAGCAAGCACAAAACCCTGCACCTGGTTGTTGGCAGCCCAGCAAGGACCTTCTGATCAAAGAGCTTGGCCTTGAAGGTGAGGTCAGGAGAGAATGAAATAGCTCTGCCCCGCCCATCTCACTGCTAGGGCACTCCTCTCTTTGGGCTAAAGTGTGGTGGCCTTGCTTCAGGGCTGGCTTCCAGCTAGGGAGGCTCCTGGCACAGTGGGTGTCCTCGAAAAGGACCCTGGCTGGACAGACAGAGGGATGGACAAACAGTTGCCAGGACAGAGAGGGGGCACTGGTACTTACACACCAGGAGAGCAGGCTTGGTGATGCGGCACACGATGCCCGCCTCGTACGAGGTGCCTTTGGCACAGCTGCGGGCACTGCCCAGCAGGGCCAGGGCCAGGAGAGCAGCAGCACGCATGGTTCTCGGGCAGCGGCGCGTGAGTGGCCCCGCTGGTCGGCCTGGAGCTCGTATGTGTGTCCGCCCAGCCCCCACGGGACATGAGGCACTTCCCGGCAGCAGGATCTTCCTGGCCCCAGGGATTGGCCTCCTTCCTGCCCAGCCCCTCCGGCCTCCTGTTGGGTTCAGAGCTGGATGTTGGACCAGAGCAGCCCACCCCTGCCCATCGCCCCTCAACCACCCGCACCCTTTCTTCCTTCCCTTATAATGTCTGGATAATTGCTGCTCTTATATGTTTTCTTGAATTTCCTCTTCTTTCTTTTTTACCTAAAATAAATATATCTAAGAATAAACTTTCTCTTATTTGCCAGAAATAGAAAAGGACCAAAATACAATGGCTATAAAATAAAGACATTTGATTCTTGCCAGATAATGTTGCCTGACGATGACCCTAAGTTTGACGCCTGGCGTTGCATATAAATTAAAAGTCAATTTAAAAAAGGAGAGGGCTTTATGAGTGTTAAAGACTCTAGCCCCAACCTTTCCCTTTCTGTATTTGGAAGATGGAAAGTATCTGATGTCCTCGTGGTGGCATTCCATGGTAGCTAATGTCACTTCTGTATACACCATCCTGCAGCCCCCAGAGGTGTATGTCTCGCTCTTTGGTATGTTCTTGTTTAGAGATCATTGCATTTAGCCTCCCTACACCCTTATTGTCCTGAGCAAGAGGCTGAGGCCCAGAGAGGGGTGGAAGCTGGCCAGACCACACAGCAGTTGGTGACAGCCTCCCCAGCCTGGGCCCTTTCTTTATCCCCAACCTGGGCGCTCAGTTTGGGGACATTGAACTTCACTCTCCCCAGACATTTTGCCCTCCTTGGAGGTTCCCAGACCCCCTCCAACACCTGTCTCTGTGGCAGGCTGAGCCAAGGGGCTCTCCTGGAGCACATCCCACATCCCCATGCTCCTCTCAAGCTATCTTTGCTATTATAGTTGCCCAGAGTCAGAATTTTTTGGGTGTCTGGACCACTCCAGCCACCTGGGCTCCCATGTCCTTGGCTTTCAGAGGAAACAGAGAAAGGAGGACAGCAACTCTGAGGGACAGCCTGACAGACCCAGGCCCCTGCTGCCTACAGACCATCACAGTGGCCCCCAGGGGACCCTGTAAAGAGGGGTCAGGAGTTCTACTGGGAGGTAAACACACGGAGAAAGATGACAGACACCTGGCACCTCATAGTTGCAGATCAGGAGGTCTGGAGTGCCTAGCTCCCAGGGAAGAGCTGGTCTGGAGACACAAGAGAGTGGGGTGCTAACCTTCCCCCTTAAACCCAACCCCATGTGTGCTAACATAGTAACAGGAGCCAGGCTAATTGTGATGGTGGCTCTTGGCACCAAGGTCTCAGTCCTTGCATCCTAGTTCTGTACTGCCTTGTGTGGGATGCCTTTGTTGACTTCCCTCCCTGGCCATCGTCTCCACAATGAATTCTCATCTGTACCAGTCACTTGACATGTGACATCATTAACCTTGGTGAGCTCTTGTGCTGTTATAATTTTTAATATTAATTATGTTACTTTGTAAAATATGGGTACCTGCATAGTCAAGAAGATGTAGAGAAAAGGAAATCACACTGCTCGTTAGTCCCGCCATTCTAAAGCAATCTTATTTGGGGGCAGGGGAGGGGGTAGGCGAGTCTTTTCTTCTGCTACATATTCGTTCAATCAGCAAGTATTTACTGAGCAGCCACTGCATGCCAGGTAGGGACAGGAGGTGAGGAACAAGACAGCCCCTCCTCCCACAGGCCCTTGTTCTAGTGGGAATAAAGGCATGGGCTGAGGCTCATATGCTGTGTTTCACCTCCACCTCCCAGAACCAGGAGGTGACAGGATTATATGCAGAATAATAATACCCGCTGTTCACAGAGCTCTTGTTATGGGCCTGCTAGGCCATAAGAATCCCAAGTCAGGATCATGGCTGTGTTAGGTCCACACATAGTAGGTGCTTGGCACGTAGCAGGTGCACAATAAATGCTTGTTGAGTGGACTATGAGATGCCAGGCCCTGTGCCAAGCCTTTCGTGTGCCTTCTTATTTTGTTCTTATGATAACCCCATAAGTAGCTGTGATCTCTGATTTCCATCTTATAGGTGAGGGACCTGAGCTCAGAGAGGTTCAATAACTGATTCTAGATGACACAGCCAATGGACATTAGAGCCAGGACTTAAACTACAAAGCCCATGTTGTGGAATGATCTACAAAGTGCAGGACCTGAGCTCAGAGAGGTTCAATAACTGATTCTAGATGACACAGCTGATGGACATTAGAGCCAGGACTTAAACTACAAAGCCCATGTTGTGGAATGATCTACAAAGTGCTACAAATAGCCCCCTGCTCCTTTCCCAAAGGGCAGCCAACTATACCAAAAGATTTCTAATGCTGTGTCACCTGGGGGGACAGGCTCCACCCTGTTATCACCCCCCCCACCCAGGCTTGCCCCAGTGACAGGCTAGGCTGTGGCCATCACCACAGGGCCCACTGGCCACCTCTGGCCACACCTTCCTTAGCACAGGCTCTCACAAGTCCTGAACCCAGAGAGAAGGAGGGGGAGGGGCAATGCACTGGGAGTCACAGAGGGGACGAGCCAGCCCCAGACTCACTCACTGTGTGACCATGGATTTGTCATTGCCTCTCTCTGAGCCTGTTTCCCCATATGCAAAATGGGAAAACATTGATTCCTGCCTTTCTTATCCAAGGAGATAAAGGAAGTGAACCTTATAAAGAGTCCTCTACAGAAACTTTTGCTTGATAAGTGTAAAATGCCTCTGGGTGGGTGCACTAGGCTCTGAGAACAATGGCTGTCTCTGGGAGGAACTGGATATCTGGGAGAAAGGGGTGGGAGACTTCCATGGCTTTTGAATCTTGAGTCACGTGAATGTGTTATCTTTCAAAAAACTTACAATATACAGTATTTTACCCAAAGCTGGGACCAAGAACTCCCCTGTGGTAACTGTGACCAAGTGGCCAGTTACTGCCTCCTTGAATCCCCCAGGGAGGAAGCCACAGCTGCTTGGATGTGGGCAGGATCCCATGACCCAAGAGAGCCAAGGAAATGGCAAGCACGAGTGGATTAGCTCAGTTTGCTCAGGGGGTCCCTGCCAGCCTGGTGTTAAGTTCCTGCTCATAGCCCAAAGCTGCCCAGAAACATGCCCAGAGCAGGGCTGAGTCTCACCATTTCCCAAAGCTCGGAGAGGTAAACTGATTTCCCCAGGTTGCCCAGCCCTCAGGTTGGTACCCGCAGTCATCATAAGGGCTCACATTGGCTGAGTGAGCCTGTGCCCACTGGCCTTGCCAGAGTGGGGGCCAGAGGAGAGTCATTTAGTCCAGGCTGCCCAGTCCCCTATCCCTGGGTTGGACTGGGAGAGCCTCATTAATGGGCTCCATTTCTGCAGGAGCAGGAGGACTTCCTGGAGGCTATTGTCCTCCTGGCCGTTGTTTATGTTCCACTTCTGGGGCCATGGGGGCAATGACCGGGAGTGCCCCTGGCCAGGGTACTGGCAGTCAGCACTGTGCCTGGAGAGCAGAAGGAGGCATGCTCCACTCCACCCTCTGGCACAGCCCAGGGGCCTGGGGCCTGGCCCCAGCAGTGTGAGAGCCCCTTGGGATAATGGATTAAAAAAAAAAAAATTAAACGAAACCAAACCAGAACACCAGGAAAGCCTATCCCTTCAAACTTAGGACCCTGCATCTAAGACTCTTAAAACTTAATCAGAATAATATCAGCTATATTTTCAAGCTATATGCTTTATTGCATTATCTCATTTAATCATTTTTTAAAATTGCAGTAGAATTAAGTTTACCATTTTAACTGTTTTAAAGTGTACAATTCAGTGGCATTTGGTATTTTCATGATGCTGTGCAACCATCAGTTTAGTTCCAGAACGTTTTCACCGTCCCGAAAGGAAACTCTGTACCCCATAAGCAGTCACTGCCCACTGTGACCTCCCCCGCCCCTGGCGACCACAAATCTGCTCTCTGTCTCTGTGAATTTGCCTATTCTGGACAATTCATGTGAATGGAATCATATAATACGTGGTCTTCTGTGCCTGGCTTCTTTCACTTAGAATATCTTCAAGGTTCATCAGGTTGTGGCATGTGTTAAGGACTTCATTCCTTTATGTGGCTGAATTCCTTTGTATGGATATCTCACATTTTGTTGACCCTTCATCCATTCATGGACATTTGGGTTTTTATCCTACTTGATCTTCACAAACACTCTTGCAGAGGCTTTGATTGCCCCTGCTTTCTAGATTAATCATTGAGGCAGAGAGATGTTAAGCAACATCACCATGTCACACAGGGATGGAAAGTTGGGATTCGAACTCAGGGGCTGGGCACCAGTGCTGGCAGTCCCAGCCACTGGAACACACTGACCCTGTGTGCCTTCTGGGGAAGGGGCTCCCTGGGGCCAGGAGGGGGCAGGCAGTGCTGGGCCACAGGATAACCTGGCACATCCTCTCTCTTCCACAATGTAACTTGCCCAACCGTTTCATGGAGGAGAAGGCAAACCCTTCGCGAAATTTTTTTTTTTTGACCAGTAAGGGGATTGCAACCCTCGGCACGATGTGGTCTGCACCACGCTCAGCCAGTGAGCGCACCGGCCATCCCTATATAGGATCTGAACCCGTGGCCCCGGTGCTACCAGCGCCACACTCTCCTGAGTGAGCCATGGGGCTGGCCCCCTATGTGAATTTTTTAAGTAGACTTTACTTTTTAGAACAGCTTTAGATTTAGAGAAATTGAGCAAATACTCAGAGTAGAGAGAGTTCCCATATGAATCTCATACCCAATTTTCCTATTTATTTTTTTTTTTTGGTGGTTGGCCAGTATGGGGATCTGAACCCTTGATCTTGCTGTTACAACACCAAGCTCTAAGCAACAGAGCTAACCATATTATTTTTAACACCTTGCATTCATATGGTACATGTGTTACAATTAATGAACCAATATTGCTACATTATTATTAACTAAAATCCCTAGTTATTCAGATGT